TTTTTTGAATCCAGCAAAATGTTTACAGAAAGAGGTCCCATCCTCCTTTGCTCTAGACCATTTTCTTGTTTTGCTTCGTCCCTGCATCACTAATAACCTCTACCTTGATTTCTAATGAGCTGCATTTTTATGGTGAACTCCGCCTTTAACTCAGGCTCAGATGATATATTTACCACACTCGTCAGCACTCACACATATAACGTGTTATGTTGAATATATCATCGATAGCTGAGTTGAAGTGAAGTGGTACTCCGGTAAAGTATCACTTGCCCGGAAGCGAGAGGTGCGGGTTCTAGTCCCGCCTGGGGCGAAAGTTTTGTTCACAACCCAGCATTCTTGTGAAACATTCGCAAGGCGAACTGCGGCCAAAAACAGCAGTTAACAAACAAAAACAAGTCAAATTTACCGTTTGTTTGACGCTTGATGAGAGTATGAAAGAGATGAGTGAAGGAAAAAGGAGAATGAGAACTACTGAATGGGCCGATATTCGAAGTCTTCATTTAGGGTCTCCCGATTTCCAATGGCAGTTCGATCTCGACGCTGGACATTTCCGGCGGTACGCAACAAGCACCGAACAGTGTGCTTCGCGTCATCATCGAGAATATGATCTATCCGGTGACCCTGGACGTCCTGCACACAGTACGTGGTGTTCTTGTGTTTACGCTCTAACTGAGATGATCGCTTACTTCTTACTAAGTTTCGCTAGACAATGTGGTAACACAAGCATGTTGATGATAAGGCGGTGAGCAAGGCGCCGAAATTTCGCGTTCTGGCCCCTTGGCTCACCAAAATCAGCGCCATATCGCTGCTTTTCGGACGTACGTACTGCCATCACTAATCACCACCGCAGCCGCGCACAATAGCGTCAGCGCGCCGCGCGCCGCCTATCAGATCTTTCACCTATTGTACCGTCGTTTCTGATCTGTTCACCCCTTTCCTATTCTAGCTCTTCTCTCGCTATGGCAAAGTGCTGAGGATCATAACATTCAACAAGAATAGTGAGTCTCTACTTCCTTTCCGATCTTACTTTCCGACACTTTTACACCTTTCATTTCTTCCTATTTCTACGCGGGCTTTCAACGGCTGACAATAGCTGTATGTAGTAGTAGTAGGATTTCCCAGTAAAAATTCGTGACAGAAGCCACATCGATGATAGCGCGTGATTATAGACACGTTCCAAGCGCTGGTGCAAATCAGCGAGGCTAACGCCGCCCAACTCGCCAAACAGAACCTCGAAAACCAAAACGTATACAACGGGTCAGTTTCGTCACTCTGGAATTGATCGATCGTGGGAAAAGCGCTTCAGAATTTCTCTGATTTCAGGTGCTGTACTTTGCGTATTGACTACAGCAAATTAAGTACACTTAATGTGAAGTACAATAATGACAAAAGTCGAGATTATACGAATCCGAACCTTCCTTCCGGAGAAATCAGTCTCGAACAACAGCTGGGCCTCGGTGAGTTATCCACTATTTTAAGTTATGCGAAATTCTTGGGAAAGTAGCCTGGGTCGGATCAATGTTGCAGCGGTGCAGTAGTAATTAGGGTCGGCATTTCAGTGGAAGTTACCGTAACCAGTCAAACTCGCATTTCTCCACGCTTGAGGCAGCGAACACGATGGCTGAGGGGCGGAGCGGTCTCGATGACGTCATCGGAGATTATAGATGGGCCACCCCTCACCGCGCCCGAGTTGTAGCTAGAACTGCCTACCAGTGCGCTTCCACCTCAATGAGGTCATTAGCATCGCTCCGCCTCCCTGATATGGCGACTGCCTTTAAGTGTGATGGAAACACATCAGATCAAGATTTTTGCACATTCTTCTAATCTTTTTTCTCTTCTTCCATTATTTTCTCACGAAAATCATGACTTTTATGTCCGTAAAATCATGACCTGTATAAAAAGTTCCAAGAGAAAAATGCTATGCAATGATCAGCGGATTTTTTTATTCGTGCTGTAAATAAACAATATTGGACGTACACAACTATTAGCCAAATGATTTGACCCAAATATGCTACGGTAGTTGAATTCACGAGAAATGTGCGCGCTACCGTAGCCATGGATTTGCTGACCAGCGTCGAAAAAATTTCTATGAACGGAAAAATTTTCCCTACCTTTTTTTTGTTGTACTCGCGGCAGGTGAAGGGCCAACATGAGCAGTGTATGGTCCTGGTTTTTGACGCTACACGGCATCGTTCTTCCACGGCTTGCAAACACACCTTGCGCCGCGTCATTTTTGTGCTTGTTCCTAACAAATTGCACTCAGTGTTTTGACGCGGCCACACCACATGCCAGATAGTACAGGGAGCAGCGCGAAAAAGGATCAGCGAAGCCAGCCTCAGAAAGCGTGTATTTAGTCCTCAGTCACCTGGCTAAATTATCGGATATTACTCAAGTCTAGCTGTTCTGAAACCTAAAGCAAAATCATCAAAAATAAAGCTTTCGCCGTTGCCCCTTTTGGGATTCAGCACTCATTCTACCCTCCCCTTCAAAAAGCCAGAAAGTGTCGGGTGCAGACCATACACCACAAGTGACGACGGCCTCCAGAAAATGCAAATATTTTTGCCAATGAAATGATTAACCTGTTACAGTTGTATTCGATCAGTTGACACTAATTACAACTATCATTTACTAAAAATCAGCTATCACTATAAACCACTACTAACCAGATTTACTTGAGAGGCCGTCGTCAGTTGTGGTGTTTGTTCTGCACTCGACACTTTCTGGCTTTTTGAAGGGGAGGGTACTTCCATTCGACATTCGTAGTGGCACATGAATGCGATGTGGCCTATACAATGACTTGCGGGGGCCAGCCGATGTTCAAGTCAGTGTTTTTATCCTCCCAGACAAGTCTGGTACCAATTAACCGACCCCGGAGGGATGGAAGGCTTGGTTGGCCCGGGCGACTCACGACCCAGGATTTGATCCCCGGACCGCTCGCATGGTAGCAGCGCCACTTGCCACTACACCACTTACGCCCGTTCAAAACTTTGGGGGTTCAAAAAGGGATGAAAATTAGTTTGGAAGAGTGACAAGAGTAGAGGGAGTGTTTGCCACTAAATTGGAGTTCATTTGAAAGGTCTAAAATAGTGCAGACTGGGAAGAAAGAGGTGTTATTTCATTTTGAAAAAATGACAGTATGTAAATATTAACATGTAAAATTAATTATGATAATAAACAATAGATGTCAAGTTAAACACTAATCTGTTTGCTTCTTTAAGAGGAACTACTCTATTAAATGCGGACTTGCTTGTCTGCACCCACCTAATTCCGCTACGCGAACGCGCGTGTCAACGTCCCTTCAACTCATCTAGGCAACTTTGAAAGAGAGCATTTTTGAGCGCCAGATTATTTTTGTCTCCAAGGTGATCTAATCCAGTCATCGCTGCAGCGCATCTACTCCTGCGAATGGCCATCGTAACGTGCTTGCTGGTAGCTCCTTTTTGTAAGCAACTTTGGACCGTACATCTCGTTTGCGGTCTATACTTGGATTTGAAGTTAGGAGTTGGTGTCAAGGCTCCTTACAAGCGCTGGGCCCTCATCATTCTTACCGGAGCTGTTGGAAAATAAATGTTTCTAAAAAGTGCTGGACGAGCTGCCCGAACTCATATCCACTTAAAAAGTGGAGCAATAGTCTTCGGTATCGTATTTTCAAAATCTTAATACTTTAGGGATTCCGGGTCTACATTCTTTTCTGCATTCTTCAGGAATTCCGGGTCTTCAATCACTTCTACCGACGGCATCCCCGTATTCATTTGCCTTCGGAACTAATCCGGCAACCACATTCATTCCTTCAACGATAGGAGCAGGTGATTTGCTAAATTCACTCCGCTTCCAGCTAAGAAGCTTTTCTGTGATTTACCAGTAATCATGAAAAGAAGATCAAGTTGACTGACAGTAGTACAGTTCAAATTGACGTCAGGATAAACTCGATTCATTTTCTATATCACTTACCCTGTCTATATAACCTATGATTGCCATTTCACTTCAATCAGCACTTAGAACCTCCTTGTACTTTCCTAGAAAAAATCGGCTACTTTTTGCCAAGACGCGAGGATAGCAGATTTAAAGGCACTTATCATGATTGAGTAGGTATGTTTCAGTACATTTGAAAACGGAAGCACCCGTGGTGTTCGGCCTCCTAGCGATGCAAGGAATGCAAAACAAAAGCCGCAAAACCTCTTAGATCGCATTGCGTGCCAATCCTATGGGCGGGGCGTGATCTCCTCCCATAAGTCTCATTGGCTATCCTCATCTCCTTTGCTCAACAAGCGCATCTCTGCTCACCCGTATTCAACAAACAACTCAACAGGAACG